TCCACCTCGTACCGTTGAGCTGATTTTATAGCGACATACCAAGGTTTCTCATTCGTACTTCGCGTATCATTGATTCCCACTGTACGTGGGATCTGCCAATTTTTTCACTTAATGAAATTCTAGTTCTTTAAAAGTACCATGCATTTATTCATTTCGATAATTAGTTGTTTACCTACTTTATTCGTAAGTCACCTTATAATTATCCGTTCTCATAATCTCTAAATGCCTTAATAATTATTTTTTTCTATAGATGTAACAGTTCGTTTTCCCCATTAATAACCACCAGTTTAATGGCCGATCCTCCATATTGGGTACGAGCCAAGGCCTATAGGAGCAAGCAAGCAAGCTTCGGTGGCACACTAGATGATACGCCCGGTTCCTGCTATCGGTGAACGAAGGGTCATGTGTTCGACTCTCCAGTCATCCAAATCGGTGATATTTCTTCTTCTGGTATTTCTTTTGTATGTTCGCTAGGATTTTATCGACATCACATACATGACGGAAATTACGTCCGAAAACTCTTGGTGTACACTGGCATCAACTACTCTCGTTATAAAAGAAATGGCCTGCAAAATTTTTAGTCTTCGGTTAAGGCTAGCCGTATACTTTAATTCAGTACCTTACACATACATATTTTCATGTTACCACGAAGTTTTGTGCAATATTGTTTACGTAATGGCATGGCGTCAGCAGAAATAAAGTGGTCGGTTGTAGCCTAACTAGGGCCAATGAGATTGTTTTTGTTTACTTTTTTTTCTTGAAACACTGTTACTATTTTAACAGTGAGTAGCTAAAGGCTGTTTTTCATGTGGTGGCCAGTTTTTGGGACCTACTAAGCGAGCACTACATTTGTTTTTTAGCATAGCTACGCCTCTTTGAATTATCACGAGGCGTAAAGCTTCACCTACCCCCAACCCCCTCCCGCGAAAAAGAAAATGACAGGCACAAAGAAGAGATGTCGACTAAGTAACGCAAGGACCTTCGAAGAGTTCAGATGCACCCATACTAAAAATAATAATTAATATTCGCGACGGAACATATTCAAACTCCGAGGAGAAAGCCAGGGGAGCAGAATTTTCACTCACCGTTGTTTTTTGTTCGTGAAAAGAAAGCACACCTAAATGATAATGCGAGAATGAAAAGAAGCAGATTGAGGAGAGAATTTTGTTGCTCTTTTAAAACCGAACGCGAAGGGGTTAACTTGACTCGTTCCAAAAGTGGAGCTGTGTAATTTGCTTTCGAATGAATCCATCTCCATTCGACATGAAACGTGGAGCTTTAGTCTGCTTTTTCTCCCCTCTCTCTCTTTTCTTTTAGCGCTTGTCTAACGAAACATTTGTAAAGAAGATAAAGTAAAGCCTGGTGGAGCGTGTCGCAGGAGGGAAATGCCCGGTAAATACAGTGTGAGCGTGGAGAAAGGAGTAAAATAATGATAAAAAATATGTGAGGGACGCTGCACACTGTTATCGAGCCCGACTAGATAAATACTCTACATTTTAAGACATAATTCAATATTGAAAACTTTATTTTGTGTCGCCTCTGACTCTATTGAACGAAGTTGCTGCATTTGTCTAGTGGACTCTGTTCACAATTATTTTCGTTAGTTTGGTGCAGTTAGCACTAAACACTACGAAATTTTTTGGGCCGCATTGCAAAAAAAAAAAAAAAAAGGTCGAGCATGTTTTCAAACAAGGTATCCATGGCTACTAAAGAAAAACTTCGAGAGAAACACGAAACGTTATTCCATGGATTCCAAGTGAATATTTATTGTGAGTATCGAGTTCATGACGTGCCCGTTCCTAATTGTACGCGAGTGCATCAGATCAAAATATTTTGCACTTGTCAACGCCATGAAGCCCAACGTCACGGAAGGTGGATGTGAGACTTTAGGCGTCCAGCCGGTAGACATAATGCGCGAGTTCGCGTTTTACATAAAACGAGAGTGTGTTACAATGGTTCACGCTCCAAGGACCATGAGAACACTTCTTTCTGCTTTTTTTACTTCTTCTCTAATTCGTCATTCAATAATTATGTTTTCCTAACCCTGTACGAAGTAGCAAACCGAAAACTCGCACCTGGTTAAACCCTTGGTCTTTCAGCCTTTCTCGCTCTTTATTCCTCTCACTTGCTTTTGTACATTTGTTGCGGACCACGTAATGAGTTAGTACGCTCGCCTTCTTTCCCAACATTTTTTGCATTCTCTTTTTGCTAGCTTCAGCGCAGGGTAGCAAAACGAACTGTGTGATCCACTCAACCTTCATCTCGTTTTCTTTCTCCTTATTGATAAGTAGTCTTGGAGATGCGCACCTAACAAAACGAAAGATATCGTACGTATGATACTTGAAACACCAGTGCATAGCTTAAAAAAGAACATCGGCAGACGAGGACAAGCACATACTGGCAGCTGGAAGCTTATTCTAAAGGTTCATATATATGCCGCAATATGAATGTTCTTTAAGGACATTCGATAACACGTGAATCGTACGCAAACCCTGAATAAAACCGGACCACCAGTCGGAACCGTTGGAAATACAATTAAGACAACCGCTAAGTTGTGTCTCATCTTTTCCCAAGTACATTTCATTTGGCCCATTGAAAAAAGTTCAATATATATATTTATATATATATATATATATATATATATATATATATATATATATATATATATATATATATATATATATATATATATGTATATATATATTACTACGTTCTAAATAACTTCCAATTGCAAGAATGCGCTAGTACATGTCTTCTTAAGTCCTCGTTTATTTCTGTCTTCCTACTCAAATTATCGAATTATCTTATGTAACCAACTGGCTCTACCAGTCATTTTGAAAAATCGTGTACCCAAAGGGCAGTATACGAGGAGGCTGGCGTCATGACTTCTCAGTTCACATACCCCTGTGCTCCGTTATGCAGTGCTACCAGGTGACCCACGGGGGTGAATGGTTGTACATAAGCTTGCCTCATACTCATGAACAATGCAGAATCATGTCTTATCTGTCTCTTTTGCTCATCACTTCACCTCCTGGCTACGTTGAGGATAGCTAACTGGACGCAGTCAAGTTGGCCTCTCTGCCTATTCTTCCTTTTTACCTGGTTAAGTGCATGTCTTCCTGGCGGACCGCCTCGACTCGTGAGTTTCTGTCTACATTTTCAGGGCATGGACTGGATTTATATTTGAAAGCTAATTAGGGCAAGCTCTCATCTTCACACAAGAGAACTGGCAGTGTAAACCTAACTTAGCTTTCAAAATTCGGTTAAAGTAGAGCAGACTAATAGTAATTACCCCGAAACGTGCGGGGGGGGGGGTGAGAATTGGAGCTTTCTCTAATAAAATTTGAGCTGTAAGTATGTCCGGCTTTCGTCCTGCCTCACTGTTCTGGTTCCAAGCCATTCAACATTACTAACCTCTTTGTTTCGATTTTCACATTATGGTGTCCCGCCTCCCTATTTTATGAATTTTCCGTGATCTAGCGTCACCTAATGAAACTGTGACTATTGATCGGCTCAGGCCACGCCCAAATGTTTGGGGAGAGTTCCCAAAAGCTCGGGCTGTTCTGATAAATTTGCGTGCGCGAAGGATGTCTACTTTGGAGTGAGTGCATACACCAGTTATAATGCTGTAATTTTTGGCAACTTACGCATTAACGACGTTGCATTACAAGACCAGTTTATCGACGACCAAATGAACTTGTGCGCCGATACTGTTGCTGTCTGAGTGTCGTTCTCTTTCCCTGCACGAGTTCGCACGGCAGAAAACTTCATCTTTGCCCTCTAAAGCATTCGCTTCAATCACCATCACGGCTACGTGAAAATAGCCCAGTCCAATCGAGCGAGCCTGCAGAGGCCTAACGGTTTTGAAATAATTTCACCTGGAGTGCGCGAGCAATTAGTATGAATTTCTCGGCGATGTTCACTTGTGCGACAGCGCCACTGGGACGGAACGCGTTTTGAAGCTGCCCGGACTCACCGCTAGGTGCCCAGGGATGACGGACTTGAAATATTCTCGAAGTCTCTGCGTCTCCGTGTTGTAGAGGAATGTGTGCTCACTCATTCTGATCAATGCTTCGTTCCGCACCGCGTGTCACAATCATCGCGGAAAATTAAGGCCACGAAGCCAGCTAGCGGCTCTGTTGGCAAGGCAACACAGATCCAATTACAAACGCTGGCCGTCCGAGTTCGAGTGCAGAGTTCGTCACATTTTGAGCGCGATCTCTTCCCATTCGCTTGACAAATGTCACCCGTACAATGTAATTACGACCCCCGAAAGCTCGCAAAGCTTCGCCAATATTGCGACTTTTTCGCATTCCATGAATGCTCGTGTTTTGCCCTGTCAAGCTTTTGACGCTGCTGATTTTGAAAATTATTCCACTTATTAGTACACACCTAGAACTTTATTTAGGAAAAAGAAACCTTCTTTGCAGAACAGTCGCACATGGCGTTTGGCATCATTGAGGGGAAAAATTGAGGGAGCTTCGTCATAGGGGAGTCAAGCCTGAAAGAAGTGCGTCGCTGGACAGCTTTCTTTGTGTCGTGTTTTCTCTTCCTTTCTTCGTGTTTTTGTTACTCTTTCTCTTTTTCAGTTTTTCTACAGATTTTTGCTCTTTGGTTCTATTTATGTTTATTTTAATGAAGGCGCTCGAAGAACAAAAAGGGGACGACTTATCGATGGCGTCAGCGCATGCTCAAATTGCTCGGCTTACAGTGTGCAATACTAATTCATTCTGGTAGACTACAGCAATGCTACGTGTGCTTTGCCCACAATATGTGGACAAAAGCGAGGTTTACAATTAAATAAAAAACCTGCGGGCATAAGCCCCAATCAGAGGACGTAATATGTATGTACTCCAAGAGTGCAGAGAATAGTGTTTTCATAATGCAGCACGACATAGAAACAGGCTGATAGTGACTATGACTGCCTTTTGACGTTTACAAAGGAGTTCTAATAGAGTGATAAATTTAAAAGCTGTTTTGCAATCTTTTGTTCCACGCAGTGGGTCGCGTGCAAGTTGACCTCGATCTGAGGCCGAGGCGGCGACAAACGCAGCGGTCGCCCAAGGCAGCGCAGACCGGCAAGTCTGGTGCCGGGAGCGGTACAGCTACGCCGTCGCCTACCGGTGGACTGTGGAGCCCAGTAGAGTGCGCTGCGCGTCACCGGGTTGCCTTGGTGGTGCCCTACAGGGACAGGCGCCTGCACCTGCTCCTTCTCCTTAGGCACCTGCATCCCATCCTCAGGAGGCAGTTGCTGTCCTACAGGATATACGTTGTCGAACAGGTGAGCACGGAGAGTCGCGCTGACGATCACTGCCGCGGACGACGGGCATTCGAAGGGCTGGACAGTGAAGCGTTAGAGTCGCAAAGGCGGAAAATTCGGAGCCATTTGTCCAACACAGAAAAAGGGCAAGTGAAGCGTGGCATGATACTGCCTGGCCAACTTTCTTTCTTTCTTTCTTTCTTTCTTTCTTTCTTTCTTTCTTTCTTTCTTTCTTTCTTTCTTTCTTTCTTTCTTTCTTTCTTTCTTTCTTTCTTTCTTTCTTTCTTTTTTTCTTTCTTTCTGTCTTTCTTTCTTTCTTTCTTTCTTTCTTTCTTTCTTCATGCGTGCTTTTGTATGTGTGCGTCTATATGTCCACAAGCAAACTTGAAAAAAAAACTTGAAAATATTTGAACGCCCCCCCCCTGGCTACGCCAATGCTATCATTGTTATTCTCTCTGTCTCTCCTGTGCTTCCTGCATTTCTTTCTATTTGACCCTTTCAGATTGTTTTCCTTGCTGTGCTTCTCTCTCTGCCTTCCTCCTTTACCTGTCCTGGGGCATCGCCTCTCCACTTCTCCCTCTCACTCCCCTCTCCCACTCCCATGCTATACTATACTCTACTATAGTATACACTGCTATGCTATGTTGGGCCTAATTGACTAAATGGTCAAGTAGTTAGGGCACTTGCCTTCGCCTCGAGGGCATGCAGCTTCGAATCGTTTCTCGCAAAAAAAAATTTCTCTTAATATTTTTCTTTCTGTCTCTTTGTTTTTTTATCTCTCTTTCTTTCTCTGAGTACTCGTTCTCAAAGTTATTAGAAGCCACGTAATAGCAGTGATGAGATGGATTTGCCGAAATTTTATGGCTAAAGCCCATTTATGGCGATAATAGCCCTTGGGAATAACGGTCCCACATTTTACACTGAGCTAGAACAGCTTCGCTAGTTAAAAAACAAAAAAAAACATTTTGAGTGAAATCATAAATTTGAAACTGCGGCCACTTGTTCCGTAGCAGGATTTCTTTGTCTGGCACAGCCCACCACGCATACAACTTCTAGCATACTTATAGCAAGCTATACATCATTCAGTATTGGTATCGCGCACATTCCGTACGTTCTCCAGCGGCCTGTCTTATCACAGGCGAGATCCACAAGGGACCGACGGTGCTCTTCTAAGTGGGACTTACTCTTCCCGCGACCGTATGCCTTGGCGCCGTACACATGGTTATTGAAGTCGGAGGGTTCCCACACTGACTTTTCATGTGGCAAAGTTTAGCTTTACATTGAAAAGCAAAGACAGGCTTGTGATGGCGAACGCAATACGTACACGGTTCAGTTTGGTCATAGCGTCCTACTTTTGAAAGCCAACCTCAAGCCTCCTCCTAGTTTCAATAAATGTTTACCACCACCTTCACCATTGGTATACGCTGCGAAAAAAAAAAGGTGTCTAACACCTTACAAATATTCCATAACTTCAGGACATTTGTTCCAACGGGCAAAGCGGGTAAACATTCATGAAAAATAATAATATTGACGTATCTGTTTATTAGCGAATGATAATATTTATTCACGCTCACAGAAAGAAATGTGAAAAGATTTTGGTCCGCTTTTCCTAAAATATAACTTTTCTTCGAATCCCAAAAAGACTGCATTCCTGCAATCTTCGTGACGGGGAAAGCATGTAGCCATTTCAGCAAGTTACAAGCTCTCTATGCACCATTATTTTTCTCCCATCCTCCCATACGTATGCAGTACGGCAACGACACGTTCAACAAGGGCGTGCTGATGAACGCCGGTGTGAGGGAGGCGTTCCGGGACGCCGACTACCACTGCTTTGTGTTCCACGACGTGGACCTCATTCCGGAGGACGACCGCAACATGTACTCCTGCCCGCCTAGTCCCAGGCACATGTCCGTCGCCATTGACAAGTTCAACTATACGTGAGTGTATTACGCACATGTGGCCACCTTTTTCACATTCGGTCATGATTATGGTGGTACAGGATGCTCGAACATCAGGTACTGTACGACCTTGTCGTTTAGGTATTGTACGACCTCCTAGGTTTACACAAATGTCTGTTTTTTATTAGTATGATGTGAAAAGATGCTCATGCACAAATAATGTGCTAGCTACTCCTAAACTATTGAAGGAATCAAACGTGAAAGTCACAACTTTAGAAGTTGTCTCATGGCAACACCAAGGTTAGAAAAAAAGAACACACGTAAATAACGTTTTTCTAGTAACATAAAAAGATGAAGATGCACTGTATATTGAATGGATGATTGAAGCAACAGCATGATAATGTGAACAAAAATGTTCGAAATGCAAGCGTTAATGTCCCTAACGATGTCTGTAGTTGTCATGTTAGATGAAGCATCACTTGTGGACAACACAACAGGCAACACATCACAAGTACCTTAACGCAAGTATAAGTTACTTAAAAACAACAGCAACATGAGTTCCTGAATGATTACCAACAGTTCTGCTGTCTCTAGGAGAGCGTTCTCACACCTTTACAGCGTAGGTATATGAGATTTTGATTTGCCACAAGTGTCAAACAATTCAAAGCTTCGAAATGCTGATTAAATACGTTTTACAGCCCTCAAACGCAATGAATTAACTATGCGCAGTGCCGTAATAAAGTAATGACGTCATACCATGTAGGTAGTTGTTAGCATATCGCTTATGAAGAATAGCTTCCATTTGCAATAAACCTGAACGTAGGAACGTGTCGTCCAGACAGGCCAAGTGAAAGCATCGCGTACTATTTTAGGAGATGTGTTAGAAGTATGGCACTGCTCTGATAGGACGATTGCTTAAGCGGGTGAGAAGCGGCGTAGCTCTTCCATTTTCCCGGAGGATGTGACCCGGACGCAGACTCCTGTGAGAGCCCTCGGAGAGGATCAACAACTGCTTTTGTCTACGTGACTTTTATTTGTAGCAGTGTGTACCGTGTATCCCCAATACGGTCGATAATTAGAGGTAAGAATTGAGACCGGAGAGGAAGGTCTAGAATAAACGCAGTCGGTAATTAGGGATGTTGAGTTTTCAATCCGAAGAGAGTTGAACCTCATTAGCAGGAGAGACGTATATTTAGCGTGCTCTCTTGCTTACCCCTCCCCTGCTTCGTCCAGCTGTTTGATTTATGACCTAAATGCTGCAAATGCACAGTGCGTCGCCCCATCACCAGCATTCACTTTGTGAATCTGCCTTTTTTTTTCATTGCATTTCACGAAGAAACAATATTCAGGCTTTTTCGCAGAACAAGCTAGCGAGAGCAAACTGGTGAATGGTGTCCTATCCAGAGTTTAAGGGCTTAATTTCTATTTGTAATAAATAACATCGCAATCAGAACCAAATAATTAACGAGCGACAGGAATCTCTAAAGGAACGTATTGGTTCAGTTCCATTGCTGTCCGTAATAGAATACTACTAACAGTACCTACCAGACACCTAGACTTCTTTTAAGGAGTTAGGGGCGTGGACGATGAAACAGTAGACAGCCTATACACAAATCAGTCATTTGCCAATTATAACCGTGAAAATGACTTGAAAGCATCACCAGACACGACATCTTTTTGAAACCAAAATTACTCGCTCAACAAGTTTTAGTGTCGCTTACTTATGGCTAGTTTTGATTAACAATTTCCACTGGTATTCCTTGATTGCGAGAAGAATTTTTTTCTCCTGCACAATGAAGTCATCGCCCTCTCGTGCTTGGTAAATAATTTGGTGCAGAAAATTGCATGCATTTGTCTAAAAACACTGATTTAAAAGAGGTTTGTGAAGAAGCAACTAAGTGCATTAGTACTCGAGGGCAAGGTAATATTAAAATACAACGTGAGAAAACAATACCAAGAAATCTACGTGGCATTTCACCAGAGAAGGGTCCATAGAACAAGCACCTCAGAAAGCACTCGATAAAATGTGACGCGACAAGCCTTTGTGTGTGTTTTTTGTTCATACTTGTGAGACGTAATTGTGAAGAGGCGCCATGTTTTGACTAACAATGAAATTACTTCACCACAACGCGTTACTAACAACAAAACATTTAAACTTTGAAACAAACCACGAAAGAAAATGGATAGAATGACCCGTTTCTTTATTAAGTACAGCAACCAAAGTGATAATGAAGCCGAGGAATACCATAGGGAATGTTTATGGTAGTCTTTATTTAAAATGTTGCGATCACGGCATGAAGGAAGAAGAAACTAAATAGGATGAAAAAAATAAACCTAACGCATTTTCATAACGTGAAAGTCGTTCAGGTATGTTGCATCTCTGTTCTTTATTAAACACTCTTCGTTAAGCTTTCAGGTGGTAGTATAGTTTTATTGCATCCTGATCATATCATTTTTACGCAGGTTTACAAAAAACTCTCCGCTTGAGATGCTTTGACATGTTGCATCACAACTCCTTGTTAAAGACTCTTCGTTAAGCTGTGTGGTGGTAGTACAGACGTCACCTTTCATAACCAAAAGTGTCACGTGACACTGGTGTGACTATGCTAGCGCGCATGCAGTTTCTGGGGATACCCGTCACCACTTTCCTTTTCAGTGGAACTTGTGCGTAGTGGAAATAACCCAATTTTTAGCGCACTTACGCGTTAATTTTGATCATTGTTTTCTTGTTAGGTCACACACATTTATGTGTCACATCGTTGAGCTAACCACTGCCTTCATGTTTAGTGGACCAGGGTTGACTAGGGGATATTAAACCAATCTGTGTGAGGCATAACCATTTTCTTGAAAGTTGGCACACGTATCGTGCCCTGCGTTGTCATCCTTGTGTCACTTGGAGGTAAATATTGCCTAAGAAGCTTAATTGTAACACAAGAACTGTAATGTTGAAATAAAAATAAACGTTTTCTACCCTTGGCTTTTCGTAGAAAATTTTGCACGGGAAATACTAGTACTCACATAAAAATTGAGTGACCCCAACCTCAGTGGCCGGAGTCCACAAAGAACATTATTGGCAAGCAGCGTCGTCAGACCGGGTACTTGGCTGATAGCATTATATCGCATGCCTTCAATTGGGTATAAAAACACCGACAATGTATACTCAGATATTGGCTCGAGATTACGTTGCACTTCTGTTCCTCAATTCACTTGGATTTAATTTTGAAGCAGACAGTGGTCTGTTTGCATATGACAGCACACACTGATTTAATTTACTCTCGCTTGCAGGTTACCATACCAAATGCTAGTTGGAGGCGTGCTAGCTATCAAGCGGGAGCACTTCCTCAAAGTCAACGGGTTCTCCAACCTCTACTGGGGCTGGGGAGGAGAAGACGACGACATGGCCTATAGGTAAGCAGTCACTGGCACCCATGGAGGTCGTCCTCGTGTGCTGCTGTCAAGAAAGAATATGGAGCTCAGCGGCAAAGTTGTAGTAGGCAAGCAGTGTTGCCCAGTGGGGTATTGTTTCACTGCGCATTAGTTATCAGTTTAATTTGCCTTGAGACTGTTTTCCCAGATGGCACCCGTTAGACAGACTTTATGCAACTTATAGCGAGCTGAGGTGTGTGCATGGGAGGTGATCATTTCTGATGCTTTCATGATGAGCTTTCATGTCGTGTGATCATGCTGTGAAGTATCGCAAGGGAGAAGGGCATTGGCAAATCTAGCCCAAGAATGATAATTAAGCAACCAAATTTGGACGGCATTTGTAAAAACGCAGCTGATAAAGCAGGCCTGTGTTGGTGAAGGTGACAAAGTGCTGAAATAAGTGATGTCATCTGAAAAATAGATAAGATTCCAGAACTGCAAGTCCAATGAAAGATGCGAACAACTGGATGAAAGAAAAAGAGGTACTGCGAAATATGCCTTGTAAGAAAAAATGCATCTACACCTCACGTCAAAACATAATTTTATTCTTTACAACAACTATCGACTAGAAAACGAGAGAGACGATACTCTTAAAGTTAGAGTGACAATGAATATACTTAGATTCGGTATACGCCAGGCCACTATACTAAGAAAACTAACCGGCAATCAGTGACACCGGTAGCATATCTGCCAGTTCATCATAGTTTTATGCAGCGTTCCTTCATTACGCTCAGTAGCTCTTGCTGCGTCTTCTTTTGCAGAATCAAGCACAAAAACCTCAAGATCATTCGTCCGCCAGCTTCGGTGGCCAGATACACAATGATTAAACACCACCAACGACCGGAATCACCAAACAACATAAGGTAAGTGTAGCGACGAACCTTTTGTGCTAACCGAGAGCCATTCGTGTGCAAAGCCGGGCAAGAGCTTGTCGCAGACGGACTCGGAGATTGCGTGAAGCCCTGAGCGTGCCGAAAAAAAAAATGGAGGGACGCAACACAATCTGCACTTGGATGGAGAAACGGTATTGACGTTCGGGAAGTGATAGCTAGGCAAGTTCCAATCTCCAGACCGAGGAGTTTGGTTTTGGTTCTGCCGTAGCTGAAAGCAGCATCTCTTTCGAAGCCCAAGAGCAACAGCTGCATGGCCGTCGTACCGTGCCAGTGACGCCTTCGGCGCTAGAACCAGATATTGATCACAGAGATCGCTTTTTTTTCGAATTCTAAAGAAAAGGCGCGAACCACGACAGAAATAACCACGAGGAAGACAGGCGAGCTGTCACGGCTTCACTGATGCACGTTCTGAGGAGTCCTGAAAACAGAAATGCCACAAGGCGAGATAGCACGGTGGAGATTCTCCTCCGTTACTCATTGACAATGGCGACGACAAAACAGCGGCAAAGTTGCGGGCTGTCGGTGACAGCCGGCGCGAGAAATCGCCCCCGGGGAAGCTGCTTTTAGACATTTCTTCAGCGGCTTCTTTTGTTTTGCGTATCAATGACTTTCCAGTTGCGACTCATTCTCTCTGTCTTTTTTAAAGACAGTAGTCTTTCTTGGGGCACTTCAACGCAGAAATTTTGGTTTGTCTCTCCTCCTGTTTTTGTCTGCCACTCGATTTAGCCATCGGAGAGCAAGTCTGACCCCTTGCTAAATGACCACCCATTTTGATCTCCAGGCTACGTTCATACTAGGAAAAATTGTATATCACAGAGCAAATATTACGCATATTTGGGTGCAACATCTATACTGGAGCATTAGGTAGTGTGTTACTTTATTTCTAAAATGCATAGATACCTGATTCTAAAGACTGCCGTGCTTATCACGCAGCGCTGGCAATGCATGCAACGTTATGACTGAAAAACGGTTCTTTCTTACGCTTCACGAAAACTAGGGAGCCTACATCACCCACGACCTGAGGAGTTCGTGACATGATCATGATCATACAGGCTGCCTAACTAAAACTACATGGTGCTGCCATGTACCAGTGGCTTAGCGTTCTAGAAAAACTTCGTTTCTTTAAATTAGGGCTATATGGCATCCATATCTCACGCAGCGTAGCACGGAGGAAGGAATAAAGATTTTTCCTTCCTCCATGCTAGAGTGTATCCATGCGCTTTGTTCTTTCCTTTTGTTCTTGCGCGCGCGCGCGTGTGTGTGTGTGTGTGTGTGTGTGTGTGTGTGTGTGTGTGTGTGTGTGTGTGTGAGAGAGAGAGAGAGAGAGACAAAACATATTAATAAGTATGCGCTTTGCGGTTGAAAAGCGCACTATAGGGGCCAGATTTCACTAACGCGTTCAACTCTTAAAGGTGAAGCTTGAGGGTCTCTAAGTTTTTTTCTCGCGCAGAACGTTCAATCAACGTTTTATTCTCTTCTCCAGACAGAAGAATATCGTCTATCAACGACCTTTCTCAAGGAAGCAAGCAGATACGCCACCATTTTTTTAAACTTTCACGTCATGTCCAAACAGTCGTCTCGAATGTACGGGGAAGTACACTCTCTTGGAAGTCATGCAAACAACAACTGACAATACTCACTTATCAAACACACTTTTTCTTAAACCAACTTCCACATCTGAAGTAATTACGCTATTCGGTAAAAAAAATAATAGGCGGAGCTGTGATCCTTACGGCATACAAATGCGACCAATAAAGTATGTATTAGACCTCATAGTGGAAGTGCTAGCACATATGTACAACTTAGTGTTATCAACAGGCATTTTCCTAAAAAACATGCAACTAGCGAAAGTTGCTGCAATATATGTCCGGAGATAAAAACACCTTAAACAATTATCGCCCAATATCTATACTACCAGGTTTCTCGAAATGCCCTGAAAAAATAATAAATGATCGAATCGACAGTTTCTTGAGGAAGCACAATTTAATAACCGAATGCCAATATGATTTCAGAAAGAAACTTTCAACAGAAAGTGCCTTATTAGAACAAAAAGAAATCATGCTTTGCATTATCGAAAAGAGACTTGTGACACTTGCATTGTACTTGGACTGTAGTAAAGACTTTGATCGTGTATCTCATGAACTGTTACTACATAAATTAGAATGCTATGGGTTTAGGGGAATACACTCAAACTTATGCAGTCATATCTGAGTGCGCGGTCTCAGTATGTTGAAATAAATGGCTTCAAATCGCGCACACAACCAATTAATACCGGAGTACCCCAAGGTAGTATTCTGGGGTCTGTATTGTCTTTATACTACATAAATGATATAGTCAGAATTAGTGAAAATTGTAACTTCATAATATATGCTGATGACTGCACATTATTTTTACTGGAAAATATTTCAGTACTCTCGAGGCTTTAGCGGCCAACATTTGTTATAAGCTTCGTGAATGGTCTACCAAGAACAATTTAATGTTAAATGAATCAAAAACAACATGTGCCCTTTTCTGAGCTCTCGACATATCCCTGCATGTACCGAATCATGTTACCCTAGGCCCCTACAAAATTGCAGTGACCAAATCCATTAAGACGCTTGGAGTAGTTTTTAATGAACATATGTCCTGGAATTAGCATACAGACCACATTAGTGTAAAGTTGCACTCTCAATGGTTGTCGACGTCTTTTGCCCGTTACTGTAAAGCGACTCTTATATCAGGCTCTTCTCCATGCCCACTTGAACTACTGCGCTTTAGTATGGGCAAACACTACGTCAACAAATTTATATAGGCTAAAAATACTTAAGAAAATAGCGATCAGGGCACTAGAAAACATATCATACCTTGAACACACAGGAAAACTCTTTGTTGAACATAAAATTGTTAAGGCAAATGACATATACAAATTCAGGTTGTTACAATCCTATATTAGCGCAAACAGAGGGAAACTCGACGCATTCCTGACTCTTGCAAATCTTGAACATACACATACCATTTACTTCCATCGATATAAATCCCGTGGAAAATTCCGTTATCTCGCACTAATTACGGCACCCAAAGGCTTAGCCACATGCTACCTACTATACTGAACTCATACGAGCAGCAAGGCATAAAAATTGACACATTAAACAATATCAATGTGCAAACACTATTCTTGTAGATTTGTATTGTTTACATAGGTCACTCTGTATTGCTTTGCACCATTTATTGTGTACCTTTATATATAATTTTTTTTCTTTATTATTTCGTTTGTGTAACCTCATTGTGTACCTTTCTCATGTACGAAAGTGATGATACATACTTTGCGAATTACTGTGCTCATGTGTTTATGAAATATTCCTTTTTGTTTGTATACCTTGGCCTGTCATTCACTTTGCCTTCTGCTTGTATTGTTTCTTGCTTTAGACTATTTGTTTTTTCATTTTATTGTATTTTGTTTTTACCCTGTCATTGCTGACGTAGGGTGGATGGTGCTTAGTCAAGCTGCAATAACTGTAGCTTTTTTGCCGTCTCCTCATTTTTCGCCATTGTATCTGTTTTGGGGAAAATAAAAAAATAAAAATAGAAATAGAATAAAATAGAATAAAGATAGCATGCAGACTATAGCGATTGAAGATGTCTAGGATAAGCAGCTGGCCGGTATCGTTGGAGGCCTGGAAAGAAGATGTTCCCGCCTGCCCGACTCTCTCTCCATTGCTCTCTTGTCACCTTCTTCTTCCCTTAGCACGGTCCACCCTATTATTTGTAATGATAGTTTTGCTAGTCCCTATATTTTTGTAACGAATGCCATCTTCTCTTTCGCCACTCTAATATGCGATTTTGTGGCAAAAAATTCTTTTCTCTTTTCCCTTCCTGTTTTTTTTCAATTTTAAATGAAAACTCTTCTAATATTATGGCAATTTTTTCATTTTAATGAGAACTCTTCTGATAATGTGGCTACTCGCGCACCGTTTAAGAACGCCGGCAACGAATAAACAGACACAAATGCAAAAGAATCACTTGTGTCTTTCCTGTCCGGTGTATCTAAGTGATGGGAAAATGATTTCTGCCACCATGATTTCTGCCAACTTGTACTGTACCTTTTAAAGAAGTTTTCCGAAAGATCTTTTTTGCCGGCTCTTGTCTCCACTTGGCTTTATGCATGTATTAACGCTTTTGAACCGCTAATGCTCCTAGTAGAAAAACAACAACATCATCATCTGCACAGTTTACGGAATTCAGATGATCATCCTCACCATCTTAAATATCTTCATCATATATGTCACAAGAAGACTACGCGGAAACAACGAGGAAAATTAAGTTTATCTGGGCAACGAGAACTTGCACAGAAGAGGACAACTTGCTGCTGAAACGCATCGTGTTATGCTTTTTATGTAAATTTTAATCCATTCAGGCTTCATTCCTCAGCCCTGCGTGAGCACCTTTGTGGCTAGTGTCTAAGGCCACAGGAGGTAATATTACACTGATAAGAGAAAAATGTACAAAAAAACAGGGGTTGCGTATCAAACAGACTTGCTGCATTTTTTGAGGTATTGAATACACTATTGCAAAAAAATTATGATTGCACCCACCACAGTGGTTTTCTTCGAAAGTCTGTTTGAGATCAAATATTCGCTCATCAACAGTAAATAACGCCCATTCCACTGCCACCTTCTTGATTTTGCCATTCGACAGACGACATTCGTTGAGACAACAGAAAAGCGTCAAGTATCCTTTATAAATTATTCACTTTTATGTACTAGAGAAAATTTCCATGAATGAATCTTGCTGTCAGCAGCATTACTGTGTCCTCCCCATTGTCCCCCTACATTTCCTACGCTGGCGCTTTTCTGCTGTCATGAATTTTTATAGCATGTGCTTGAACAGCGAAACTGAAAACGAGGAACAAGTGGAGGACAGAGAAGACCGCCATTATCTGTCCTCTTTCGATAGGTTTTTTTGCCGTCCGACTGATGAGTGACGTCCTTGTTTATCGTCTCTTTGATCCTCGGTTTCAGTTCCGCTGCTTGAAGCACTGTTGGCTACACACCAACAAGCACCATTGAATAGGGTTTTGACTAACTGCCAGTTAGCTTATCTATACAACATATGGACGTTAAAATTATCTTGAGGCACATGGACGTTCATATCCGACCCCTGTAAAAGGCAATACATTCCTCCCTTGCTTTATTCCACAGGATGGCTCTGGTGCGAATGGCCTGGTACCGCATGAACAAGGATGGCCTGAGCACTGCCAAGTACCGGCTAGTGAGCAAGCAGGTGCTGCCCCTGTACACGCACCTGCTGGTGGACATCGGTCACAACCACAAGTGGCACTTCTCCAGCTCGCAGAAGCTCATAATCAACCTATGACCGCTGGAACCACCGGCGGCCAGATCCTGCCGGAAGCGGCCAGTGCTTGCTGCTCACCTCTACGCCCGTGCCGTAGTCTCCGCTGGCAGACGATGTGCGCGTTCGTTACGACAGAAACCTCAACGACGAGTTCCTTCCTGGGCATTCGTGGCAAGTTCTACTCCCAAGTCCCTGACGCAATAGTTTCGTGCTTATCTGACAACCGAGCTATTGGACTCATCTCCAACCCTAGAAGATCCCTGTTGCTGTGTCCCAGTAGAAGCTGTTCACACCCTGAGAGCTGGTATTCGACGACTAAACAAGCCCATCGTTGAAAGTACGACCGTTTAAGACAATGACTTGTGCTTAGAGACGTAACACTGAAAACGTTGAAAGTTTTCAGCAAATAGCTAGAAAGATTTCAGCCGTACCGTGGGCTAAACCTCTTCGGGTTGATCTCAGGTGCCCTCGCTGGTGTCCATGGTGCAACAATTTTCGTTGTTTTTTTATTTTGCTGCAAATACTCGGCCACACGTTTTCGCATCGTGAACGAACTCTGAGCCAAGTTTTGCGATGAGTTCACTTCAAGTCACTAAGTTGTCTTGTCAGCGCGATGCAAGAATACAAGACTTGCCTGCGATTAAGCATCGCCACGTGATGAACCTGTTTCGTGGAAGCAATGACTCAATGGTTCACACGCACCTAAGAACGCGCATAGTTAATGATGAGTTCACATCAAAGGTGTTGACACAGGAACCCCCCCCCCCCCCCTATTGTTCTTCTGGTACTTTGATTACGCGTAGCGCGAAGAGAATCCTGTCACTGGTATGTGTGAAAGAAACAGACGAAGTCGAAAAATAGTAGAGAAGGAAAAACGAAGGTGTGTCGAAGACACTCAGTTGAAACACTGAAAATGCCTGCCATTTCCGGTTACTTCGTTAACCTGTATTTTACGAGTAGTTTTTATGTGACTGTAACTAGAGTGCGTCCTCGTTTCGCTTACCCAATTTAATCAGTAGTGCAGCAGCTGGAGTATAAATGTCCCGAACAGGATTTTCTTTTGATGACATTTGTTTGAAGCGGCCGAAATGTTCGCAGTCAGTCAACAGTGAACTCCATATCCTACTCCTCGGAACATGAAAGTTCCAAAGCACTAAACCATATTCATTTTGACAGCGAGAAGGAATAATACACTACACATAACTTGGTTCCCTTTTTTAGCACTGAAGTGTGAACAGACGCCTGTATGTATTTTCTGCGGAAATTTAAGCTTATTCCCTCACCATATAGACCAGCGACACTAGCCTGTGAACGCCTTAGACCCCGATGACACGTTATAGTCGACAAGGCAAAGATAAACGCATTATGAGCGGAAGGCGGGTGCGCGAAAGCGGCATCTCTTGGTAGTATATTTATCGATTTTTGTGTGGGTAGGTGGGAACTGCCACTCCCCGGGCTTCAGCCCGGTAAGTCATTATATAAGCGATAAAGCGGTTAACAGAAACCTACGACAATAAAGCTAAGATAGAAAGCTGCTATTTATTCAAGAACAATTATTTTCTTAATGGTGCCAATGAAGTCTTTTCCCAAGATAACTACGCATCACAATAGGTGATAAAGAAATACAACACAAGGGCACCAATAAGATCCAGTTGTGTATAAAGCGTTCAGACTTGAAAGTTTGCCAATGTGGCACCTTTTAAAGATGCTAGACGAGACATTCACTGCCGTCCTTCAACCATTGCTTATGTTTGTAAAGTAACACAGCTCCGACGGACAGATTCATTAGCCAACTTTGTTATTATTTACGCTTGCAAATGAACCTTAGGCTGCCAGAGATAAAAATTACATGACTCTTAAGTACTTAAAGTAGCACAGAATATACCTCAGTTTAATCACACTATTATTTTCTCGCAACTTCATGTAGCTGGTACAAGAAAACTTTCCGATAAAGAAAGATTTCAAGAAAGTAAATGATTCAAGGTGCTCAACAATTGCAAAATACTCAGACTGTGTGAAACACATTAAAAAAATGTTCTTGTGGAGTTGCTTGGTTGCCTAAAGAAAGCGTCTAAATACCGGCCTAAGCGAGGTTCATAACATGCGTTCACAAAGAAACCAATGAACCCAGGAAGCTTGAACGTGAGAGCAAGATTCCGTGTTTTGCGTCATCTCAGTATTTCCAGACAATATATCGTCTCCGCTATAAGACCCTGGTGTGTTTTAAATAACCCGCTCTAAAGATACTGTACATACTCCCCAGGTTATTACAAGAAGATGTACCCTGTTCCTTGCTTTCGCTGAAGAACAAGCTAATATCTTTATTCTGCCACTGTGTCATATAGCTTGTACGTCTTGAACACTTCTAGCATTGTTGCTAGGATTAAAGATGGAGTAATAGAGCTTAGTATGACGCACTGATATTTGCGAAACCGCAGAAAGAGGGTGAATTTCTTCAGTGTAGGCATTTAATCATTGTACGTGGCGCGACAGGAGGGATCTGTGTTCCTCAGGAATGCGCATACTCCGCCATACGATCACGAGCCCATGACACAGCTTTTATTTTTGTACAGGCGTCTTCAGCTCTTTCGCTTGCAGACGGGAAGTTTGTCGTTATTCGGTAGTGGTCAGTTGATGAGTTTCGTGGCGCAAGGCTCAAAAACGCGACACGGCTCGTCGGCACCTTATCATTAGAAAAAAAAAAGACTCGTTGTGGTGACCTGTGTTGGAAGCCGCTGCAGACCCTGATGTTCGTCACGGCTGTTTTTCGGTTCTTTTAACACTACTTTATTATTGCATCCCGAACTTTGCTTCACTTTCTCCAAGCTCAAGAAATGAAATCAGCGTGCGGGTGACGAGAGATAGATGGCATGTAGGAAAAGTGACCTCGGTTCCATGTTGTGTAATACGCCGTAGGACTTCTATGACCACGTGCGAAAACTGCGCTAAAATGGCTTCTCGAGCGTGGCTGATATTATTATTATCATTATTATTATTATTATTATTATTATTATTAATATTATTATTGACTGTTTGTTGTAGAACAAAATATATCGTAACACAGTTGCGGTATGCCTGCGAAGTGTGTGTGTATGCGCTCGCTTCTTCTCTTTGTCTGCTGCCAAGACGGAATAAAGTTACAAAAAAGAATAGAAGGCGTACTTATGTGCAGCTTTGTTGAAAAATAAAGTTGTTTTCTCCGTATGGTTTGTTAAATTTCCTAAAAATAAACGCTGACAAACTTCATCATGCCTTCGTGTAACTTTGGACTGTTCATTTGATGTCCAAATTCACAGTGAAAGCTCTTACAGTTTTACAGGGAAAGCTCTTATTAGATCACAACAAAAGTGCCTTAGTTGACCGCCACGTGAGGTTCCGCCTAATATTTTGATGGCCGAAGCTAGTTAAGCCGTGGGTCTGAACATGCATGTTTCTATTGGTACGTAACCACCTGGTTCTATGACTCACTCAGTAGATACGGACAGACAGACAGACAGACAGACAGACAGACAGACAGACAGACAGACAGACAGACAGACAGACAGACAGAAAGACAGACAGGGAGGGAGGGAGGGAGGGAGGGATGGACGGACGGACGGACAGAGGATTCACTGTTTGCCAATAAAACCCACCAAAGCTTCGCCCCACTCATCTTAATTGACTCCGTGAATATGCTGTAATTTCTTACCAATTGTGTCACTCCGTGCTTTCTGTTAGCGAAGCGGGGCGGTGCCGCTGTTTTTAGGAACGAAGCTCCTTCAAGCGGCACCCGTACGTCCCTCGTAGCCGTAGTCGTAGTGTGCAACAAGAGTTACATTTTGACCTCCAAGGTGGTGCCGGTGAGAGATTTCTTCTGTGCGTTGTTGAACAATAAAAAAATTCGCAGCGTGCGCGTTACCTAAAAGCCGAATGCTTCTGTCTCTCATTCCCCATTAGCAGCCATTGGCATGTACACTGAGCACTATCTTACAAGAAAGGGTTGCTACGTTATACTCGCTGGGCGTAACCTCGTTGGTTTTGGAATGTTTTAGCGAACATTGCGCCGCAGTGCCATGAATAGAGTGAACTATTATATACCATGAACTCGAGGCGGCTAAAGGTGGGAAGTAGACCCGAAGCGCAAGCCGTAAGAAAGTGTGTGTGTGCCACCTCTCGTTTAGTCCTTGGAATGTCCGCTGGATGGCGGTGCTTCTATATGGGGAATATATGTTGAAAAGATGCGTGATGCTGGTACTTGGAGTGTTGAATAGATGGACAAACGGACACACAGACAGATGCATGGATGGACGCATGAACGGACGCAGGGGCGCATGCATGGACGAACGCAGGGACAGACGCACGAACAGACGCACGCACGGACGGGTGGATGGACGCATGGATGGTCACACAGACGGACGCATGGACGGACGGAAGCAAGAACGAATGGACGTACGAATGCTTCGCCCCACTCTCCATCATTCACTCTGTGGATATGCTGCCAATTTTCTAGGGCTCTAGGCTAGTAAAGATTGTTACACATGCCGCGATTGCAGCGAAAAAAAAAAAGTTCCGTTCGCTCCAACCGCTGTGTTCGCTACCTCCGCTAATGGCAGTTTCGTTTCACAAGGACCGTGAACAGTCCGCGATTTTCGCTCTGCGACTGGAGCGGCGAGCAACGTTTCTTGAAACCGTTAGCTCGGGAAGAAATGTAATGTAACAGTTATTCTGGGCGTTATGATATTATTCAGTTTCCATGAACAGCAACGAAGAACACTTAATCGTTTCGTCATTTAAGAACACTTTCACATCTAACTACAATTAAAAGGTGCAACAGGAGCCATTACCAAAACAAACACGTCGACGCAATTTTGACAGCTTGGCCGGCCCGGTCCTATTTCGGCGGGTTCCGAATAGAAATCGCTCCCGCTGCTGCGATCAGTGCGAAAACTTCCAACATGTTGGAAGTTCGCCACTGACCGCTGCGGCGAAGTGAACTACTCTATTTGTCGCTGTGAGCGAATTCGCTACTTCTTGCGTTCTGTGAAACGGCCTTAACGTGGCATGACGCATTTAAAGCATGACGTTCAAGATTGCGCGCCGGCCTGCCGTCTTGGAGGTCATGGTTATTAAACTCTTTCGATAGCAGTAAAACATCCTGACTGAGCGAGCATCGCGCAGTCGCTGACGCAGTGATTTTCTCTGCTTTTTGCTTTGGTTAGCACGTGATAGCTCGTTGTTGAAGTCACGCAGCTTCCACGTGCACCAACGATGTTTCACCGCCGGCTATTTCGAGTGTGAACGCACTGGCTTCTTCAATAAAACTGCTGCTTTAAGCACTGCAGCAAAGCAACAATGTCGACGGGCGAATGTCGTGCGTTGGTGGAGGGAAACTACAGTGCCTAGAATATACTTAGTATATTCAAGGCACCAAGTATATTTAAGGCACCGGCCGCGCGTTCGCGGCTCAAGTACCAGTGGCCGTGCAAGCATGAACCTCTGTGTTTCGCGTTGCTGAAACGCAGTATGTGTCAGCACTGGCGTAGGTTTCAAGAGCACACACTGTGCTCTTTCTCTCCATAACTTCCTACCTTTTGAAGATTAACATATCAAGTAGCAGTGTATAGTGGTTGCTTTGACGTAATCTTTGTGCGCGATTAAGGATACGGTGTGCTGATGTATGGAGAAAATCTTGAGTTAACACAACGGTTAAATCCTGATCATGGGTAGTAGCCCTTACCATAAAGACATTGCTGTGTCCACGTTAAAGGGTACTATAGCTGCTAAACGCCAATAGAAATCGTACATACTCTCATATACCACTACACAATAATACTACTTCTATGAAGACACGTTTCACTTTCGTGTATACCAATTCCTATTATCAGGGGGTGGGGGAGATCAACCACGTTCTTTGTTTTTGCTGTATTGTATGTCCTGAAACATGTACACCAACCAACAAGCACATTAAAGCAATGACGAGTTGTATCGATCCTAGTGGACAGACACACACTTAATGTGCCTGAACAGCTGTCAAGAGTTGTACCCTCGGCCACCCCACAGGTACAAACTGCTGAGCGTTTTGTAGTTCCATAAGCATGGCCGTAATCTCCAGAAAGAACGTTTGTGCACACCCTCCGTCTGGATCGCAATAAAAATCCGCCATTACAGCCGACAATAAACAGTGAAGGCCGTTTAGAATAATAATCTTGCAATTCAACAGGCAGTCCCTCTTCATCATCTTTTGCCAGGAATTTTATACCCCGCGCATGATAGTCTGCAGCATTCTGTCTTGGCGAGTTCAAACACATGTTGCTTTGTGACTGGCGGAACGGGAGCGCTGGTGTAGCTTGGGGGAACATGTTCAGATTGAATGCGGCGATATCCACCCGGGTATACGTGTGGGTACAAGGCTACACGAAGCTTTGGGTTTCAGGGACAAACATGAAAAGCTGAACACATCCGTGATAGAAACAATAAACCGTTAAAGTACTGGTGACAGTAAAGTAGAGATAAAGGACAGAAATAGTGGAAAAGTGAAGTCATTCTGTCAGAAGAGGCAGAGAGATGGAACACAATTCTATATTTTTCTTTATTGTAATAAGATCGATTTAATCGAAGTATATATGATATTAGGCCAACGTAAACAGAAAGAGTTATGTTTTTTTTTTGCGAGCCTGGTGGCTCACATGTCCTCGCCCCGTTATAAAGGGTACGCTCATAGCATCCATATTCATCCATTCATGGGGCAAGTGCTGGTAAGGCTTGAGGGGGCAGGGGGCATAGCATTTCCTAAATATACCCTAGAAGGAACTCTGGCGATAGTGTCTATGGGAGCTGCAGCGCACGGCGCTTCAGCGAGCATGGGAATGATGGGTAGTATACGGATTCGTCTAGTCTCCGTGCTTGTGGCTACGTGTGTGTTCATGTGGCTGGGAGCTGTTTTCTCAAAAAACCCTCCCGGGAAGTTGCCATCAGAGGACTAGAACGAAGGGCTGGGTTTTCACTTCAAC